TGAATATTAAGCCTAAACTTAACCTGGACCCTCAGCTTACTGTCTTTGCAGGGGTGCTTAGTGAACTATCTGGTAGCTGTGAACAGTAATTATTAACACAGTTTACTATTTCTCTTTATAGCCTAATGAGTTTAGTGCTTTTTCTGCTCAGCACCACATAAACAATTGATACAGAAGTTTCAGCCTCAAATAACATTTAGGGTAATATGGTTAAAACCCTGCAAACTACTACGAAAAGACCACGATTAACCTTGCCAAATTTCAGCCCAGAGCCAAATTTATTGGGGGGCTTTTTTTATAAACCAGTTAAATACAGTGAGTAAAAATAGTGTTTAGAGTGGAAGTGCTGACAAAACCTTTACTGCAGCAACGTGGACAATTCAGCTGTAATAATGGCAAGTGTGCCCTTATCACAGCAAGAAAAATGTAAGGAGTCCTGAATTTGCAGTGAATGAGCCATTACTTATGTCTATCACAAAGAAACAAGACTACTGAACAAAAAAAAAAAGATACATTAAGGGTTGGATTTTTTTTCCCCCAAAAGAAAACTAAAAATAAAAAAGATCAGATGTGACTCAGGCTTTCAAACAATAAAAATAGCAAGATAAAAGAACTAGGTTGCTTCATTGCCTAAAGAAATGGCTAGAATCTTAAAAAGTCTGAAACCTGATTGTGAGAGACTCACTTTATGGGCTGCTAAGGAGGTGCTGACCTTCATCATCAATAGATTGTCTGAGCCTTTGTGGTATTCAGCAGTAAAGGAAGTGCTTAAAAAGTCATCCCGCTGAAAGATGGACTGGAAAAATCTCCAGTTCAAATCTCAGCATAGCTGTTGTCAGAGCACATGCTCATTCAGAAAGCCTGTCTGTAAATCTAATTCAGATAAATCTTCCTTCATTTTTAAGTGATAAAACGGGACCATCCTCACCTTTAAAGATGGATCAGGATATCTGGAATTCAATATAAGGGAAATTATTATAGAGGAGGGCAGCTAACGACCAGTGTGTTGTGGGGCTTTGGATGTGTTTTGTTAGAGCACTGTGTTTCTCTGTCCTGGAGGACACTGCAGGAGTGGGATAACACGAGCACCAGTGGGGCCATTTCCCTGCTCCAGTTTCAGATGCAGTTTTGCCCGTTCCAACAAGCTGCTCTGAAATGGACTGTGGCAGATGATTGCCCTGTGGTTTCAAACAGCCTTTTGGGAGAAAGGGGCTGTTAGAGATGAAAGACTTCAGCTCCTTTAACTTTCTGGAAAAGTCCCATCCTTGCCTGAGCACTACACCAAGGTGGGAGCTGTCACACACCTTGGGGCAGGGGGAATCAGCCATGATGGGGTATGGGGCAACACAGCTGCAGACAGATGGGGAATCTTTGCCCAAAATGCACCTGGGCTGCAGACACAACCATGCTGGTGTGAGAAACAGCTGCTCACCTTGAAAATTTAAAGAGGTTTATTAAATCTTAACAAAAATACAACGAGGGACTCCATAAGGAAAAAGCTGCAGCGCTGGGAACTGCCCCTCGTGGATATCACGTGGCTGGTTCATCTTCAAGATGGATGCTCAGTCTTTTATACCCCTGGGGGTTGCATCAGCCAGCCCTGGCCCCTCCCAAAGTCTGTCAGTCAGCTCTTCTTTGCCATTTATCAGTGGAAACTGCTTTCTTGTCACTGGATTGGAGCTCAGGTGTTGCCGTGCTGCACCCCATAAGCACCAAGCTTTTCCATTCCCAACTGCCCCATGCCAGGGACACCTGTGCAGCTTCTTTGTACCTGTCCCAGACAGCCCAGGCTGTCTGATGGCAACAATGCAGGGGGGAAAGGGAACTGTGGGGAGAACAGAGGACATCTAAACTACAATAACATAACTAAAGCTTTTCTTAATATTCACACAATAGTTATCTTTTAATTGCAAGAGCCAATCATCTCATTATCCATCTATAACACTGGGGATGAAAAATGAAAAATCCTCCATCCCCGAGGAGCTGTGCAGCATTGGACATTCACAGCAGAGACCACAAAGCACAGATGGGCCCCTGGGGACTGGAGATGCTGGGAGTCCAGCACAGCAGCTCCAGCCAGGCCACCCCGAGCAAGGCAGCTCCTGCTCGTGCTGCAGGGGAAGGGAAAACAAACCAAAACATTGGCACCAGCCATCGCTGCCAATTTCTGATCAGGGCTGGGGGAGAGAGAATTACTGCTCTCTCCACTGACTGATTTGTCTCTGAGCTCTAGCAGGGCATTTTATGGGGTGCATTCCAACTTGGATCATGGCTCTCCTTGGAGTGCTGCCACTTGGTTGGGGTAAGGAATGTGTTTCAGAGTAAGGAACATGTTTCAGAGTAAGAAATGTACTCAAAGTCCCCTTTTGGCTTCCCAGCCTCCCCAGACCTACAAATCATGCCAGGGTATGATCCAGCAGTATGATTCCAGAGGGAATCCCTCCTTCCATTTACTTCTTCCTCTATATATAACAGATAACTGTCCAATTAATGGCTTCAAATCTCTGCCGTGACAGGCAAGTGGGACCCCCAGAAACAGCATCTTGTGTTGTCTACTGACAGCTTCTGCTGAGGTTGGTAAAACAGACCCTTTTCTGCAGCACAGCCCCACAGAATTCACATCCCAAAGAGCTGGGAATAGCAATGGAATGGTCCAGTTTCAAAGCAGCTTAATCCCCTCTGGGAACTACTGAAAGAAATTCTTCTCTCCTGTCACCCCACTCCAATCAATGCTGAAAGGTTCTGCCTTGCTGTATGTAGATTCAGGAAGAAAGCACTGCAGCCTTTGGTATTTAGAAAGGTTTCCCTTCACATCTGCAAGGCCAGAAGCTTTTTTGGTTGAAATCAAAGTTTAAATTCGGAAGAAAAAAGGGCTCATCAAAGAACTGGCAAAGAATTTAACAACTAGGTGCCAGCTGAAATGCCAGTGTGATTTATCAGCGGGTTCTTCCCTAATCTGATGTGAGATAATAGGAGAAGGTGTTGAAAGCAGAATCAAACCAGATACAGAACAAAAAGCATAAGTAATAGGGTTCATAAAATTATGCACATAGTAAGTTTACATTATCTAGTAGGCAGGCCACTATCCCCAAGAAGGTTTTATTAGATAGATTGGAAAATTAACAGACAAAACCAGAAGATTTTCAAAGACAAATTATGTTATTTTCCTTTTGCATGCAGATATTTTTTCCATGTAAGCCTCTCCATTTTAAGAGACGAGATTTCCTCAGTGATAGACGCAACAAAACACTTGTCTGTAGTTGCTGGTGGTGCCAGGTTCATACATCTCTTAGCAAAGATTAACCCTCAGATTTGCAGAAAGCTGAATTTGCTTATCATAGATCAGGAAAATCATTCCTGAGAGCTCACAGATTTAGAGTGGTTTCCTTCTACTACAGCACTAAATTGTCAATAGATATATTCCCCTGCCTAGTGATTCATTAGAAGCATTTTACAGTAAACACTTCCAAAATAAAAACCAGATATCTTAACATAAGCCTTGGGAAAATAGTTAACTGACAAAGATAATGATTTTCTAAAAGCTTTGCCCTGGACATGGGTTTGGGTTTTTTCATTGAGATAGTGGTTAAAGTGAGGCTGCCTGATAAAATGTATTCCATTGAACAGCCCAAAGTCATGCTAATCAGTTTGAATAACTAAAAATATAGCAGGAACAGTGTAAATCCACTTGATACAGCAAAGTTCACTTCTCTGGTCCATCAGAGAAATGTCTGCAAGTGACCAAAGAATCCTTGGTCTGCATTTCACAGTTTGTTCTCTTTTTTTTTTTAATCTATGGTAAATTATTTTTCAATTCAGTTTGGTCCAGCCATTTCCCAATTTCACACTGGTATCAGCCCCCCACCAGATGCAGAGCTTTGCCTTTGGCAGCATTCTGGCAAGGAGGAAAATCCACCAATTCTCCTCAAAAGGCTTCTCAGTAATGTGTGGCTGATCAGAGGAAAACTCCTGCTGCAGTTTATATCTGCTGCAGACTCATTTCCAAACTTCCATCAGACCCTCAGTGAGGAGCCCACCCAGGAGGCTGAGAAAGTCCTGTCCAGGATCTCATCCATGTCCATGTCCCTGGCATGACATGGCTGAGATCAGCAGGGCTCATCCCCTTGATGCCTTAAGGAGCTGGAACAGAGGCTAGATGGAGTTAAGAGTAATAAAAGTGGATATTTATTGAAGTGTCTTCAAAGGCCACACCCTGGCAGGACCGCAGTCCTGGCTCTGCCTGGGTGGCTCCAAGATGGGAGCAAAAGAGGGTTTGGTCACAAGATCTCACATTTTTATAAGTTTTTGCTCATTTGCATATAAGAGTTAACTGTCCAATTAATGGCTTCAAATAATGAAGATTCATCCTCCTTGCTTGCTTGCCCACCCTCCTCTTTTCATGTGGTTTATGCTTTGGGCCTGAAGTTTGAAGAGATTGTCCTTGAGTCTCCAGCTGGAATGGGATTGTTTTGTCTCCACCACCCTGTGAAAAGATCCTAATGATACTTAATATAAAGCTAAAGCTGCACACCAAAACAGAACAGAAAAACTTAAAACATAAGGTTTCAAATGGTTTTTTTACCCTCAGCTGGGGCTGGGCTGCCTGGAGTCTCCCTACTCACTGCACAGTCAAGATAAATCAGAATCTCCTAAATTGCCCAGTGCTGAAGCCAGGACTGGAAAACTCAGCTTCCTGTGCTATGGTTTGTTTTAAAAAGGGATTGAATGTCTTACAAACAGGTAAAATTGCTGCCAGATTCAAGTACATTAGCCTTCTCCAGCTGCTTTACTGCTGCCATTCAAAATAGCTTGCTATAAATATGATTCCTTTGAGCTCCATTCTGACAAGTGCACAGCACTATCTGGGAAGGGCCCGTGGTTTTCCATCCCCACTGAACTCAATGGGGGTTGTGATTGCTCAGCACATCACTGAAAAAACTCTGCTGAAATTACCTGAAATCACACAATTATCCCCTCACCTCTCACTATTTTTCTTTCAGTCACGGAAGAAGGCAGGGAAACAGAAAGAAAGACAACAAAAGAAATGGTGCGGATAGAGCAAACCCTGAACAGAAATCAGAAAACAATGAAAAACAAGCTAGGACAAAAGAAGAAACACCATTAGAGACTGGCAAGTGGATATTCCCAAGACCTCCACTTCATATCTCTGTGTCAAAACTAACGGAAATAGAAACAGAGTTGGTCTGAATTGATGAGGTGGACATTTCTCTTGGGTTTGCCCAGTTTGTGAGGATTGGTATCACACAAACAGCATGTCAACATTCCAAAAAACCTCCTCAGAACAGCCCTTTGCAGCACATTGAGGAGCAGCTCCATAGGACCCTCCGGGCAGGCAGCACTTGCTCCAGGCAGGAGCAGCAGCAGTGGCCAGGCTCCCCCAGCCCTGAAGGCACAGGGATAAACCAGCAGAACCACCCAGCAAAGGGAATGCAAAGCAACAAAATCCATGTCAGCAAGGAGCAACCCATTATTCACAGGGTTCAATAAAAATCCTGAGATGCAATTGCATGAGAAATGCCAACATTTAGGGCTGTTCATAAATAGCAGAAGGAGGGGGGCACTGGGCTGAACCAAAAAATCTCAGGTAATTTTTTTTTTCTCTAAGGTTCCTACTGTATTTATGTAGAGGGGAAATCAAAAGGACACAAAGTGAGAAATAAATGCTCTATTTTTTAATCCCAGCTCTATCGGGGACAAACGATATCTCAATAGTCAGGGAAGTTCCCACTCTGCCCCAGCTGTCCACACAGCAGTGCACCAAATGTTTAATCCTTTGGTTAAACAAAAGTCCAGTTTAGCCTTTTTTTCCCCTACAGTATTTCCACCATGCCCTCTGTTTCCCTTTTCCCTCCAAAGGCAGAATATGGCTGCTGGATCTAAATCCTTTCCCTTCCCATAGAGAGCAGCCCCCTTTGGATTCAGATGGTTTTGTCTTCAGCAGCCAAGAATCCAAGAGCTGAGGTTTTGTGGGAAAAGGTTTCTTGGTTGCCTGAGATACTCAAGCAATAATACGACTTTGGCAACGATCTTTGAAACTAATCTGTGATTTTCATGACTTTCTGCCTCTAAGGACTCAAACTTGAGCTGTCTCAAGCAGTCCTGTTCTTTGATAAGTAGTTATTTCTGAGCTTTCAAAAGCAGAGTCCTTTCCAGTTTCAGGCTGAGCCCCCTAAAGGAGGGATCTACAGACCTTTGACTTTATTCAAAATCTCTCATCCAGCCTGGAGTTTTGTCAGTATAATATGAGAAGAAAAGAGTAAAAGAGTGAGCACCTACCATTCTGGCAAGGTTGCAATTAATTTCACAGAGGAGAGGGAAGAGAAAGGAGGTGTAGGAAAGCCCAGCAGGTGGGTCACTGCTCCAGCCACCAGCCTCCTGTTTCCTGGAAGCCAGAGCCAGCAGCACTTACAGTAAAACTGATTGTTCAAAGTTGTATCATTATTCCCAGATTTCTCCAGTGCTGCTAATCTCAGTTAATTATATTGGAAATCCCTTGTATTATGACCATGCAATTCATAATGTGCCAGCAGAAGTCATGGTTCATAATAATCACATAATGGGCAAGGACTTAGACGTAATCAGATTTTAGTTACCCTGTCGTGTTTCCATAATGCTGCTATAAAACCAACATAATCACAAAAAAGTACCAGTTATTTAAACATTTTTATCAGATTGATGTACGGTATCTTTCTCTCCCTCTCCCTCTTTTTTAAACAATGTAAGATAACAAAAATTGGATTACAAATGCTGGGAACAGACTATGATAAACTGTTTGCTTGTGTGCAGCATGAAATTTAATAATGGCATCAGTGTCTCGATTTTTAGCAGTGTTAGACCTGTTAAATAGTAGCACTCTGCAGCCAAAGGCTGCTTTCAAAGAGGCAGCATTAGAGCATTGTGCAAACAATATCTCCAAGAGCTCAGCTGTCTTATAAACCTTGAAAGATGCTCTATATCCTCACAATTAACCTGGCTGCTAACATTTACTGTGCAGATGAGGGCTTGACTTTTTCCACAATACATGATGCAAAAAACCCCTTAGTAGCTGTAAGGATTTTTAAAGGCCAGTGTCTGCCTCTCAAATAAAATAAAACAGAAAAGGAAAAAAATTAAAGAGCCACTTTCTACTTTACAGGAATATGGGTGGTGATGAGAACTTGCAAGCTGCACTCTCTGGACTCTCTCTAATGTTTTACCTCCACTCTGACCCCAATCACTTCAGCTCTGCACTTGACATCCTGAAAAGGGGTCCAACTACATTTGTTTCAGCACTGTACTGCCAAACTTAATTCAAAAGAATTTGTGAAATGTTAAAGCTTTTCAGCTGGCAAGCAAATATCCTATTTCTATTTTTTTTTCTTTACCATACTGAAGGCACTTTATTTTAAAGCAATAAATGTTATAGCAGTGAGTGAGTAAGGTCAGAAAGTGTTTCCTTTTCCCAGTGCTTTTTCTCCCCCTTACATTAAGAAATGAGCTGTGATGGGGACAAAAACAGTTGTCATTTGAGAAGAAAGAAGGACTTGACTCCTCCTAAGAGGAGATGAAAAGGTGCTGAGAGAATAGCTGGAGATTATAGAATTTCTTCCTGGAATTGTGGACAGAGTGGTTGGGGAATCACAGAATTGTAGGGCTGGGGTTTCTCAGCAGTCTCCTAATCCAGCTCTCCTCTGAAGCAAAACACAGAACATCCCTGAAAAACATCCCTTCTGTACTTTTCTAAAAACCTCCAGTGAGACAGACTTCTCTGTATCAGCAAGCTGATGGAGAATTTCTCCCCATCTTTCATGCTGCAAAATAGCCCATGATGGTTTTGTATCCTTATTTGACACGAAGGGCAATTAGCCACCCCATTCTCTCTGCAACCTCTTAGCAGATCTCTTTTCAGTCTTCTCTCAATTAAATAAATTCAGTGCTCTTAGTATTTCCTCCCAGGCCATGTTTTCTAAACCTCTGTATTTTTTGTTGGTTTACTTTGTATTGTCTCCAATTTGCCTCTTTGTTCAGATGGAGACAAATTGGAGATGGTGCAGAGAAAAGCAGCAAACTTGAGCTGCTGGATTGGAACTGTGGTTGTTTTGCTCAATGTTTTCTGAAGAAATAAACAAAAACTCCTCTGCATTTTGTGGGGGTGAAGAGACACACGACATGAAATAAGCTCAAAGGTCAGGAAATTCAAAGTTATGGTTGCTGGTGCAAAATATTTCCAGAAATCTTTCAGACTTAAGGAAATTAAGCCTTTAGTCTGACATTGCAAAATTTTGAGTTAGAGATCCTGATCCAGAAAAATGTGTGCATTGCATTAAATTTGAATAATATCCCTAAAGCAAGTGCTAACTTAAATGTTGCAAATATTATGCAGTTCTTGGCTCTTCTTTAAGCTCAAATGTCTTTCCTAGATCAATCTGTGTATTCATGTCATATTATCGTTCTTTAGATCATGTTGTTTTGCAAACATTCAAATAACAGGCATTTCTGAACAACTAGCACTAAAATTATTGGATTGGGGGAAAAAAAAAAACCCAAAGCAAATTTATTAGAAATGAAAATAGAAATGCTTGTTTAATTTAGAGCTTTTATATGTTGGACAGCATGCTGCTGATTACCACTGACATCAGGAAGGCAGAGTTATCAGGAGAAGAATTGGTGGTTTCTCACTATTTCTGCACTACTTAGCTACCATTCAATTAATCAGGAGGGACTTAGTCAGCTTCATTAAAGTTGGCCTGAGAGAGGAAAAAATAATGCTCCCTTGGAGAACTCTCACTGTTAAGGCTTAAGAATTAAGTGCTTTCTGTGGCTGGTGAGGAAAATAACTGCAGAAATTAGGACATAGTCTTCACTTTTCTGTAATGGAGAATATTATAAATACACCACGTTGAGAAACACTGCAAATTTCCCTAAATTTTTGGCATCCATCTGTTGGAATGTAGGGAAATAGGACTTGAACATCTGGAAGGGTATGAGAAATCACTCTCTAGCTTAAAACCTCAGTGGAAACCACATAATGTACGTATCTCTGTAAGACCTCTAGACAATTATTAACAGCTTAGATACAAAATAACATTAAACCTTTCTGAGGATCAAAAGATCTTGTCTCACACTAATCTCCTAATATCAGACAGCATAACAAACTTCAGAGCCATCAGCCTGTTTAAAACCTGTCCAGATTTATATTTCAGACCCCGTTGTTCTGCAAATAATCCTGCCCTGTGATTTGAAAATGAATGAGAAAGGTTCCAGGCTGCTGTGCACAGGAGGAATCCCACAGCACGTGGGATTTGGTGTGGAATATCTGAGGCAGGAAACCCCTCCTATGTGTGACTGATGAGTTCCCCAGGGTGCTGCTGGGGAGGTATCCCAGCCTTTTCCACAGGCTGGAACATCTCCATTTCCCACAGATGGCTGTGGCAGCAGAGGAGCCCCAGTGGCATCTCCTTTGCACACCTTGTGTGCTCAGATAAGCTCTCCTGCAGCTCATTGCCCTGCCACTCACAGGCTTTGGCACGGCCACACGCCCTCTTCCAGGCAAAAATATCAGCAGAAAGCTGAAATTGCACAGTGGCAGTGGCACCAGAGCCCTGGGGACACCATTTCACACCTATCTAGAGTGAGGCAGCGTGGTCCAACCAAGCCTTCCATCAGCTTCCTAATGTGAGAAGCAAAACAATGAGTATTTCTGTATGAATACAAATAGAAGTTCATCTCCAGGAGCCTGTCTGCTGCTGGGCACATTAGAGAGGCACAGGCAGATTTCCTGGCATCAGGGCTGAAGGGCAGCCCTGGGAGCACTGCAGGATTGAGGATTTTTGGATGTGGCCACAGCCACATTTCTGCCCACCCGTGCCTCCTCCTGCAGCCAAGGAGCCATCGAGGCAGGACAGGGTGTATTCCCTTCCTTTGGCAGCACACAGAATGGAATTCCTGGCCATCCAATGGAAAAAAAAAAGGTAGAAATTGGGACTTTGTAGAGTTTCCCTCCCCTCTCTCACAGAAGGAGCCTTGCAGTGACCAGACACAGCCCAACACCATGAAAACCCTCAAGGGAGAGCACATTAAAGGCTATAAATTGATTGTGAGAATCCACTTTCTGCAGCTAAAAATCAGATTCAGAAATGATCTTATCACCAGCACAGGTCCTCTAGAAACTTCCTGGGAGTACATTTGGTCTTAGAAAGAGAACATCAAAAATCACTGACCCCACCTCCCCAAAGCCTGAGTGGGAG